TAAGTATGATGTATGTGATAAACTCCCCCAAAGTGGAGGAAAACCAGTAAGAAACACTGGATTAGACAGCTCTCCGCACTGGCACCAGGTGAGTCTCACCTGCAGGGGTGAGGGGAAGGGAGGATAGCCTCAGGAGTTAGCACAGGAAATTTAGGAAGCCACAACCAAATTGAAAAGAAAATCCTATACACTAAACAAGACAGCATTACAGCTAACAAGTGGACCACATTTAAAAAATACAATTATTGGCTCATATCTAAAGAAGAGTTCCTCATTTATACCACAGAGGGCACAGAGTATTTGCCTGGCTAACTTCACATTTAACTTGAAAACATAAGCAATCATTCTGGCAAAAGCAGACAATGTAATCCACCTGAATCAAATGGAGGATGACAGCAAACTCTTCCTGAGTAACTGGGACACCAGATCGGAAACCCCAGTCCTCAGGGAGCAGCTGGATTTCTCAATCAGTCGGGCCTGGGAGAAAGCGCTAATTCATCCAGAAGTGGGACTGAAGAAAAGCTAAGTCTTCCTTGGGTCTCTCCTCCACTGGACTCTCCCCTATGGGGAGATCATTAATTATTTAAATTAAGAAGGGACAGGTAGGCTACATTTGCTGACATGACAGCTGTTTTCTGCTGTTTCCATTAAAAGCAGAATTATTAGGCAACCAGTGTTGAAATCTTCAAGTCAGCACTAACTGATAATTAATCTTAGTAAATGAATCCCACTGCTCATAGTGTTCTCAGTCCTGGTTCTAATAATTTCTGGCTTTAAGGGACGTCCTCATCTAGAGCAGTAATTTGGCTCCTTTGTCCAAGTTTTCCAATGCAGTTTGCTTGCAGCTACAAAAGGCCTTGTTGACCTACAGCAAATTATATTATTTACTTGATCACCTTTTATATTTTTCCTCATAATAACCTCCTACATCTATTTGGGCCTTTGTCCTTGTCAAATTCACATTCTGGAACACTAATTATTTCCCAAAGATGTTTTAGCACCGATCAAGCTCTCAGAGGCTCATAGGTTTGTATACCCTGGGGAGAATCTCAAACTCCTTGACCAACTCTTGGAGAAATGCTAAATGATAACAATACAGGCGTGAGCTGAAGTAAACTGAAAAGCAGCACATACCTGGATGTGTGTATCAACACAGAGACAAGTCTTCTAATTTGATAACACATTATGCAAGATTTGAAAATAATGTAACCCAGTATCCCACAATAACTTTCTAATACTCTTTCTCAAAACTAAAAACCACCTTAACTTTAAAAAATCATAAAAACAATTAAAAAAAAAGTCTCACCTAAACTTTTACCAGGTAAAAACTGCACAGTAACATATACACCGAGTTGCCAGATTATTATGATCTCTGAACGCATAATAATCTGGCCACTCAGTGCATAGCCTATATAATAAAAGGCTAATATGCAAATTGTCCCCTCGACCAGGAGTTTGACCAGCAGGCAGGCTGGCCAACCGCCCATCATGTCCCCTCCTCCTGGCCAGGCTGGCCGGACCCCACCCATGCACGAATTTATGCACTGGGCCTCTAATACACACACACACACACACACACTGAGTGGCCAGATTATTATGCATTCAGTGTATTTCACAATGACAATATGGCACAGAACATTTTTCCACCCAATATTTTCATTACAGAAGATGTATTTTCAAGGTTGTCAACTAAATCTCGTACTTCATGACCACTGCAAAACAGGTACTGTTTACACAAAACACTTAATGTTTTCAGATGAATTCTGAACTAGTTTTCATGCTTATTCTCCTAAAAAGCCCCAACCACTTGTACATTACTTTCCTTCCCCCTGAAACCCACACTCTCTGGAACCATAGGATATAACAGAGAGGAGAGGGTTTCAATCTAGCGACTAGTTTATCAAGTCACTGGGCAGAAGGGTCCACGAGGACCACATTGTCTATCTGGGACACAACCCATTCCAAGGACTGCTTTCACTTTCACTTCAATTTCCTCCCATCAGCTTACAGAACTTTGATGTCCATGTGCACAAGCTGTCCTAACAGTTTAGCTTCAAAGCTCACTGGTCTTGCCACCAAAAACTGTCTCCATGCCAATTCAGTGACCCACCTCAGGAGCACACCATCGCGTGGTGACCACCGGTGACTCCACCTCCCATATCTACACGCACCGATCAGTAAGCAGGGCAGCATTCTGCCAGTGCCTCACTTTCTGACTCTAATCCGACCATCCCTGGAAGCGATGTTTTCCCAACAGGTCACGAAATCCACATACTGTGCTACGATCAGCACCGTTTTCAAAGAAACAGGAACACCAGAGTGGAATGTAAATAAGAAAGGTGTTATGAAACTTTGGATCAGTTATACTCACATTCGTGATTGCGGGGCAAAGTAAAATGTATTTCTTACTACAGGCCACAGTGAAAAAGGCTAGGAATATACTACTCTAAATGATTATACCCCGAATCTCCAATCTCCACCATTTCCTTCCCTATCAGTTGAAGCCCAAGATCAATCACTGCCCACTAGCCTTTCTTCCCATTTCCATTCCCAGGGCCTAGGCCCTCCAATAAACTGTGTGATTTTATCACTTGCTTTGAGCCTATTGGACTCAGCTGCAGGCAAGTCCTACAACTATGTGGGTTAGAGACCACTCTTTTTTTTCTTCTTTTAAAAAAAATATATTTTATTGACTTTTTACAGGGAGGAAAGGAGAGGGATAGAGAGCTAGAAACATCGATGAGAGAGAAACATTGATGAGCTGCCTCCTGCACATTCCCCCTACTGGGTATGTGCCTGCAACCAAGGTACATGCTCTTGACCGGAATCGAACCTGGGACCCTTGAGTCCACAGGCCGACGCTCTATCCACTGAGCCAAACCAGCTAGGGCGAGACCGCTCTTAAGCTATGGTGTATGCCTGCACCCCCACCACGTCCTGTCATCTCAGGAACCCTCTCTGTGCTTCCTTTTCTCCTACAACAGCCAAGTTTTCCTAGCAGCGTCACAGGGTAACTTACTACAAATTCTTGAGTCCCACCCAAACCTACAGGATGGGAATATTAATCCCCTACCCATTCCGCTGCACACTACAGTTTAAGAACCACTGCCCTCTGGCAAAAGTTCAAATTGAACAGATCACCCTAACTTCTCCAGCCTCCAGGCTGCTCCCAAATCCTCCAGTTCCTCCCAGCAGCTCAGACCATAAGCACTTAAAGTAACACTTGTTATGGACCAGGTACTAGAATATAGCCATGAATAAGGGGTAATGCCTAACCTCAGGTCACCTGCTGTGACCACCTCTACTTCCCAGATCAGTCAATGTGAACAATTACAATTGTTGAATGGGTTGTGCCTTGCAGCTCCTCCTTCGGCCTGGTCCTCTTTACATTTGCCCACGTATCAAAGGAAAAGGTCAGCACACTCTTCTTCCCACAAAAGCTGCTCTAGCCCCTTGTCCTCAAGATCCCATTCCCTCCTGGTCTTCCCCTAAACCCTCCTCCCTCCTGAAATAGTTACGAACACATTCTTGGTTTCTCCATTGGTTTACCCCATTCCATGTGCTTTGTTCACAGTGCCTCTGAAATACTTAAATAGCTTTCAAGTCCAAGTTGGTATACCGACTTCCGTTCCCACTTTTCTCTCTGCACTAAAAATAGCTCTTGTTGGGTGCTGCAGTTGTTGGGTGTCCACGCTTGACCATGAGTGCACTCTACAGAAATGATCTCAGTCACTTAAAAGCTCCAGTCTACTAACCCAAGTTAAACACACCTATGGAGACACATTTGACCTGTGTGGCCTGTAGTAATTGGACAGTAACACCTGAAAAGTGTGTAGACCCTGGTTTAAGGAGCCTTCAAGGAAAATGTCAGGCAAGTAGAGGATGTGGGACTTCCCATTTCTACCAAGCTCCCCAGTGATGCTGATCTCCAAACCAAGTTCTCCAGTTTAGAGTGCGGGTTCTCAAATTTAGCTGCACTCTGTTATCACCTAGAAAATTCCAAAAACTACAGCCTGGGTCTCACCCCAGTAGTTCTGACTAAACTAGTACAAGGTGCAGCCACTACCTTATTAAAGCCAAGGTCAAGGATGGCTAAATAAAGAGATGAAAGAACCTCTGTTCTTTTTAAAAATATATATTTATTAAATATATTTTTATTAGTGGCCCAGTGCACGAAATTTGTGCACATTAAAAGGGAATGAGTCACATCCTCGGCCAGGCCGGGCGAGGATGCAGCCTTATGTCCCCAGCTGGCGCCGGGTGGGGACACAGCGTCAAGTCCCTGCGTACACAGCCTCCTGCTGATTGGTCGTTACAGCATGAGGGCATCATTACATTTGCATATTAGCCTTTTATTATATAGGATTGATTTCAGAGAGGAAGGGGGAGGGAGAGATTGGAACATCGATGAGAGTCCTAGCCCGTTTGGCTCAATGGGTAGAGCATTGGCTTGTGGACTCAAGGGTCCTGGGTTCGAGTCCAGTCAAGGGCACATGCCCGAGTTGCAGGCTTGATCCCCAGTAGGGAGCATGCAGGAGGCAGCCATTCAATGATTCTCTTTCATCATTGATGGTTCTCTCTCTCCCTCCCTCTGAAATCAATCTATACTAATAAAAGGGTAATATGCTAATTAGAATGGGTCGACCGGCCATCTTCTGGATGTCCCACTTCCTTCCGGACAAAGCCATGGTGGTGGGGGCAGAGGAAGAGGCAGTTAGTGGTGATCGGCTGGCAGGGGAGGGCAGTTGGGGTCATTAGGCAGGCAGGTGAGTGGTTAGGAGCCAGTGGTCCTGGATTGTGAGTCGGACATCCCCTGAGGGGTCCTGGATTGGAGAGGGTGCAGGCCAGGCTGAGGAACCCCCCCTCCCCCGTGCATGAATTTTGTGCACTGGGCCTCTAGTAAAAATATATTAAAAAAAAGAAACATTGATGAGAGAGAATCATCAACTGGCTGCCTCCTATACACCTCTTACTGGGGATTGGCCCACAACCTGGGCATGTGCTCTAACCAGGAATTGAACCATGATCTCCTGGTTCATAGGTTGATGCTCAACCACTGAGCAACACCAGCTGAGCCAAGAACCTCTGTTCTTGAATTGACTGACCACTCAGTCAACCACTAGTCTTCCACTTATGTGTGTAAGTAACTTTCCTTACTGTTTAAGAAGTGTGAGTTAAATTAATTTGTAATCTAAGAACCTAATTGATTACAATATTAATCTGTATTACAATAAAACTGAAATATTTAATGTCTTTTTATGAACATCATTCCTCTATTTGATAAATTTATATTTTACAGAAATAGGAGTCTTCTCTCTAGGAGTCATCACTGCTTTAATCATAACACTTGACCCCACATTCACTCTTAATTGACAGAATCTAGACATAAAATTCCTCAAGAAACTTAGGTCTTTGTAAAAGAACTAGGCATCAGGTATGCCCTCATAACGGACTTGAGTAACCACCATAAGATGCCAATGCAGAAACTTAAAGGAAGCTGCTGACCACTGGGGCCATGTTTTTGTGTTTGGGAAAGGGTGGCAATTGGGACATGATCCAGTCACCGATTCCCTACCAGGAACCATGCAAGCTCCCCATAGAGGACCCTGGACTGAGGCCAGATGAAGGCTGATGAAAAACCCAAATGATACAAGGGATAGAGATAGGAGGACAGGGGAAGTCAGCGCAAAGAGGAACCTGGCAATACTAGGTTCCCCACTACATGAAGAACTGTTATACGAGAAAACACCCATCAAAATCATTGGAATAGGTGAAACTGATTTTCTAAAGGTCTGGCGAAGACTTTAAAAAAATAGTTAAGCATTTCCAAAGAGATTATTGAAGGCATCACTTCTATTTTTAAAAACTTATGAAAAAAGACTAAACAGAATCAAGTGAATTTGAAAAAGTTCTTTCACAAACATTCTAAAGAAATGTTTAAAAAACCTAGGTAAATCTGTTGAAATAAGTTCCCACATATTTTACATAAAATATAGACCAATATACATTTCAAGGAAATAATAGAATTGTGGTAATCTTTACAGGGCAAAAAGTGTTCACCACGTAATAATCATTTTTTTCCCATTTCTAAGACTCCATTTATTCTAAAACACGTCATCTGCTGATGGCAGCTTTGCGGGGGGGGGGGGGGAGCAGGGGTTGATGAGAGTACACAATTAAAATTAGAATACAACTTATAATGTGTTCAACAAATGGCTATTAAATTCCAGTACTGCATCCCAAAGTCGATAAAGCTTTCCCAAATCATGATCAACACAGATCACCTTGAGTCCATAAACACTGACTGAAGTCCTATTCCATGGGTGATTCTGCAAAATATGTCAGTGCAGTACACCCAAATGCCAGCTAGAGGCATTCTTAACAGAGAAACGCATTCATCTTAACAGGAAGAAATGTATTCATGTGAAAAGTCAAGCTCACTACATGTAAATTATACCTCAATAAAAAAGTATAAAAAAGAAAAACAAGACATAATTTTTTACTAAGCAGAATAGGACGGTGATGATTAGCTATGTGAGTGCAGGCAGTTTTCCTGAGTTTGTTTCCTCATTTGGAAGATGGAGATAATAACAGCATCTACTTTATAGATGGCTGTGAAAATTAAACGAAAATACATGCAGAATATCTAGTATGTAATAAGTCCTCAATAAACATTATTAGTAATGCTTGTAAGACAAATATAAGCTGCTTAGGAGTAAAATGCATTTTAATAATTATACCTAGTAATCTGAAATATAAGAAAATGACATATACTAACAACTACTTCAGCAGCAAAATACAAAAATCAATAAGTATAAAAATATAGCCCCTCCCCAAGTAGAAAACTAGTGCCAATTTCTCCACTGCTGTGTAACAAACTGCCCCACACTCAGTGGCTGAAGCTGAGACCAGCATCCTCTTCATCTGTTTACGAGTCTACAGTTAAGACTGCGCTCAACTGGGTCCTCTGTTGGTCTTGTAGTCACTCGTGGCGGTCCTTGGCTGGTAGTGGCCAGGGCTAGACTCAGGTGGGCCAGCTGCACCTTCTCCCTTCCCAGTGTCCTCTCCCAGGCCCTCCAGCATGTCACTGGAGGCTCCAGACAACACAAAAGCAGAAGCTAATGGCTTGTATGGAGCACAACCTGGCATTGGCATGAGCCTGCAGCATGCTGCAGTCCAGGAGTGCCACAGGGCTGGCACCAGTGCAGGAAGGTGCTTCTCTGGGAGCCACCACAGAACACACATCAATAAATGGACCAGGTTTGCAAACAGCAGAGAGACTACAGAATCACCTGGGTTCTAAGTGGACTGCTCCCTGAATATATCATCACTGATGAAGAGCCAGAGCTGCACGAAGGTTTACCAATGTGTCCCATACATGACAGCAATGACGATTAATGCTTGCCAAGTGCTGCATCCATTTCAGTAAAAATGTGTAATGCTGCCGACAACAGCATCGGGGTTTCAGCTTCCGTGAGGGGCGTGTTATACACACATATGTATATACATCAGTCACCAAAGAAGCCTTTCAAAAAAAAAAAAGAATACACTCATCTCAGCATTCTGATTTAAAAGGAGGTGCATAGGAGTTCCTGTGTGTTCTCCAACGGTGCCCCCTAGGCTTCTAATATACAGACCACCCTGAATCTCCACCACATACAGGGTCAGATGAGGGCATGTGAAGCAGGTAATTCAAATTTTAATTGTTCACCACAACCTACAAGCGAGACATTGTTTTAAGAGTTTACAAAAACAGTTTCGCGTGAATTATCTCACTTGTGCCTATGAGTGAAGCAGGGTTGACATCATCTTATTCTTTCTCACACCCCCTTCCCAATTTTTAAATAGATGCTAGGAGAGAAAAAACAACAAAACATACGAAAACCAAGGTGCAATTATTATGACAAAGACAAGACAGAGACTAACCAAGTAAAACTTGTTGATAAAATTATTACTCAAATACTCACTGGGTGCTTACTATCACTACCAAGCACTATGCTTCCAGATATATCCCCCTGAGAACACGAGAGGTAAGTTTATAACATGAAAATAGATATGTTACAGAAATAAAAAAAAATTATTAACTGTCAAGGTTATTATATTAAAAGGAAAAAAGTGCCCTAGCCGGTTTGGCTCAGTGGACAGAATGTTGGCCTGCAGACCCAGGGTCCCAGGTTTGATTCCGTTCAAGGGCACGTACCTGGGTTGCAGGCTTCTCCCCGGCCCGGGGCCCTGGTCAGGGCTCATGCAAGAGACAACCAATCGATGTGTCTCTCTCACATCAATATTTCTCTCTGTCTTCCCCCCCCCCCTTCCACTCTTTCTAAAAACTAATGGAAAAATATCATCAGGTGAGGATAAATAAATAAATAAATAAAAGGAAAAAAAGTGCTGCCAGGAAAGGCCATGAAACTGCCAAAGATGATTAAATAGGATACTCATGCCGGGCCAGTGTGGCTCAGCAGTTGAGACTTGACCCATAACCGGGAGGTTGAGGGTTTGATTACCGGTCAGGGCACATACCCTAGCTGCGGGCTCAATCCCCAGCAGAAGGTGTTTTCTTTCTTAAGGATATTTCTACCCCTCTATTTTCTCCCTTCCTCTCTCTCTGAAGTCAATAAAAACATATTTTTAAAAAAACTTTAAAAAATAATAGGATACTCATCTCTATAGGGAGAGTTGGAGAGGAAGCCGATTTGGAAGGCAAGGGAGGTGATAGACCTGATAAACTGCAGGAAATTAAATATTTGGCAACAATAAAGAATAAATTTTGCTAGATTTGTGGGGAACTGGGAAGAAGGTTGAGGGTCAGGTGGGAAAGAGCTGAAAAAAGCAAACAAGAGATGAATCCTCAAATTTTAACACAATCTTTAACATATTAAAGAGCATAAAGTTTAAGACTGATCAAAACTAGTAATGACAAAAAATTAGGACAATCAAGTGATAAAGCGTATTCACCATCAGCATGAATAATTATAAAGATTACTAGAGGCCCGGTGCATGAAAATTCATACACTGGAGGGGAGATCCCTCAGCCCGGCCTGCCCCCTCACAGTCTGGGAGCCCTCAGGGGTGGGAGGCGGCCCGGCGATCAGGGGAAGGCGATGCCCCATCACACCTCTGCTGCTGCCACTGCTGACAGCACAAGCCTCGGCTGGCCCTGGTTACCTGAGCCTCGGGTGGCCCTGGGCAGCTGGCAGCCGCCATCTGAGGCTTGCCTGCGCTTTGGGCGGGCCCTGGGCGGCTGGGGGCTGAGGGGACTGGGCACTGCCATCTTGTGGCTGTGGGCGCCGCTATCTTTGAGGGTGTGACAGTCAATTAGCATATTTCCTCTTTATTAGATAGGATTTCCTCAAGAGTTCTTCCAAATCTGCTCTGAGTCCATTTACTAACAACCCTGGCATTCCTCACTGTACCTGCACTGTCCACCAGCGAGCAGCCACCAGCCACGGGTGGACAGTGAGCACTTGAAACGTGGCCAGTCCTAACTGAGATAGGTCATAGTATAAAATGTACATAAGACTTGAAAACTTAGCATAAACAATATAAAAATATCAATATTCATTACATATTGAAATAATATTTTGGACATATTGGGCTAAATTATATTAAATTATTTTCACCTCTTTCTTTTTACTTGTTTAATGTGGCTACTAGAAAACTTTAAATTCCACATGTGGCCTGCATTCTATTTCTATTGGACAATGATGCTCAATACCATAGTTGAAGGAATAGGAACATCCTACTTGTATAAACACAGCTGCCTACGAGAAAGACTTCCACAGAGGTCTAAGAAATAGAAGGTATGTTCATTTTGTCCAATTTTTTAGGATAATGCTCATTCAGAAACATGGTCAGAGTAAGAAAACAATTTATTTCATTAAATATATTCACACATTTTGGTAGCAATTATGCAAATTTAGACATGGAACCCAAATTTAGACATGGAGCCCAACTTCCCCTTCCCCCAGCAGGAAAATGGAAACATCCCGTAGTCAGTCAGGAATCTTCAGCACCCTCCGCGGCACAGTGAGCAGTGTGCGGCCAAGTAGGTTTTGCAACCTCCTTTGC